CATTACTCCGTCTGGCTTGCTGTCATTTAGGAGAGATCGAGATGAATGCAGGTGATTTCCAACTGATGCATTCAGTGGACTGATGTTTGAAATAAAGATGCTATTGACGAAATCGCAAGGTTTAAATTTCGTGATGAAAATGATGTAGTACATGATGTTTCACTTAATTCTCGAAAAGTTTAACATCCACTGAGCTGAAATGTTATACCTGTACACATAGTTTTAATCAGTTTTCTTTGGATTTTGAGTGCATGAAAAGCAAATGATCCTACACAGCGATGTAGCTAGGGGGACGCCCTCAACCCCCCCCCCCCCCCCCCCCCCCGTTGCCCCCACTGGAAATTTAGCATCCGGGGAAAAGCACAGTCGTATAAGTTAACAAGATTACCGGTTTAACATAAAGTGCATTTTGCATTCACTTTTATTTTTTTTCACGTAGGCATAAACGCTGTTTTTCGCGAGTGGATGTTTATTTTAAAGTCCCGTGGAAGCGAATAACACCACCTATTGTTACGACATGATGTAGGATTTCAACAGCTAGCGCACCGTACCCATGCAAAGATGGTGTCCATTCAACACCCCCCCCCCCTCCCACTTTTTGATTTTACGGAGGCCGGGTGTCCGGTGAAAAATATCTGTCTACCTTTCATCACAGATGAAAATGGACGTCCCCCCCCCCCCCATTGTAACAAGTCCCCCACCCCCCAATGAGAACCCTGGCTACGCTGCTGATGCTACATGCCTTTATTACAGCCGTTTCACATCCGTCCCATCCACACAAATTACGTTTCGCTTATTTGTTGCCATGTTCAAAGTTTGCCCTACGGATTTTGACCCGTAATATCGACGGCGGCACCTGTACCAAACAATTAATTGATTGGGTTCACCTAAGAATGATTGACGACCAACTTAACCGTGGCGGAGACGGGTTGCCGGCGCCCACGGTCAACCGTCACGACTAGATGCCTTTCATGGTCCGTAAACTCACAGCATTGTGGGGTTTTTTTTTTATCAATAAACATCAATCATCTCTCGTCAATTGTTGATAATCATCTCTTGATATTTTTTTTACAAACACCCCGGTAAGTAGCGTTGACAATACCGCCGTGTTTTTCCCCAACAGAATGCATTGAGCGTTGCCCTTTGAAATCTCACAACCGATGAATATTTTGAAAGATTTGCATTCATTAAAAAAAATACAGTTGTCGTTTCTTTGAAGTTGGCGACAGAGATCGTTCTTTAAAACTTTTGCTCGAGTTCAAAGTACTCACGACATCCTGCGGTTTTCTTTCAGCAAAGTTTACTGGCCCTAGAGTTGAAAATCCACCAGTGTGTGGCTTGCACTTTTTGAAGACTTTTTGACATAACAAACCCCCCCCCCCAAAAAAAAAAAAAAATTGGCTTCGATTTATGACGAATGTGATTCATGAAAACATCCATAATCCCAACACATTCTTTCTTTACCAGGAAATAGCATGGATTTGCAGTAAAAGGTTAAAACGGGGGAGAGGCACTTCTTATTAAAATCGAAAAGTTGCCACCTCATTTTTTATTCACTTTATGAATAAAGGGCTACAATAAAAAATACTGCTTGATTTTTTTTTTATAGTTATACCGTTTGCAATACAGGGCGAGTAAAAAAAAACGAAACCCAAATGTCGGGACTATTGTTTTAGTGAAGTTCTGCATGTAGCACTTTTATTAAAATCTAGCCGTGAAAGCCCAATTCATAAGCTTTCGTTTAGTACAAGAATCAGTCAAATCACTCATGTACTTTTTTTTAGTATGGATATTAAACACAACCACTGCTTTAAAGTTCTGTCCACAGATCACACAAAAAGGTGTGCGTTCTTTCAGCAAAATGAAAACAATTCACACACATCCTTATGAGATTTGGTTTCGTTTTGCCGAAAGAACAAGTTACATTTCTGTGATCCGTGGACAGAACTTTTAAACGATGGTTGTGTTTTAATATCCACAACTTAAAAAGTACGCGAGTGATTTGAATGATTCTTCTACTAAAAGAAAGCTTATGCATTGGGCTTTCATATCCTAGATTTTGAAACTGCTACATGCAACAGTTAAACAATGGTCCCGACATTTGGGTTTCGTTTTTTTGTCGCACCATTACAGCTATATCTTTGATGTTTGTGTGTTTTTGTTCAACAAGGATACACATCGGGAGACCACTTGTGTATTCATTGTTATTTAAATTTACATAAAACACAGCTCTCAAAGACAACTGCTGAATGCAATTGGTCTGTTCATTTTCCATAAACCGTAGACGTCTTGCTTATACGTATATGTCCATTCTGTCTTATACACTGTATTCGCATAATATTTACTTGCAAAAAGTTGTAAGTGGGATGTGAAAAGCTCTATTTGAAGTGCAGTACTTCCGTCAAGCTATAATGATCCAGTTTATTGACAGAATGCGTCATCACTTAACTAATTAACCACACACAAACAACATGGAGAAATGGGCGTGAACCATGGAGGATTTTAGCGAGTGCCTCAGAAGTGCTTTCATAAAAGATAAAACCTCAACAATAGAAGAATTATGGCCAATAAATTGGACACAATAATGTGACAGAGTGAGAAAAGGGGAAAGAGTACAAATTGACTTAAAGGGCGGCTTGTGCGGTTTGCACACTCAAATGGATCTGTGTGCAAGTCGTGTTTAGGTCTTTTGAAGAAGAGACACTATGCCCGTTGGCTCGAGGGTGTGAAGAGCAAACAAACATGCATTAGTTGTGTAAACCAACGCCCGGGGAACGAGTCCGGCAGACAAAAATGTGTTTTGCTCACTCATTTTTTAATGATGGTCTGTAACCTTGGTACTTGGTTGTCAAACGTGTGTTTTGTGCCGAGTTGGGAACCCGGCATCATGGGAACTATAGTACATGCGATGTTTCTGGTGTCCGGTACAATGCACACAAATGGCTCGTTTACAATGGGATGTGAAGGGGATCTGTGCAAGGTTTGTATGGCGAATAGGAGACATCGAGGGTAGCCTAAAAATAAGAAGATATCCTTTATCCTGGTTGAAAACGTCCGGCCTCGAATGCCGCGGGGTGGGGGGGGGGGGGGGGGGGTGACTAGAATGTTTGTCTCCTCTTTTCTCAACTCGTTTTACGCTGCTTGGGATTCTGGTGCTTACATCGAGAATCACAATAAGTCCATAACAGCTTGCTCAATATTGTAAATATGGCACATGATATCAAATTTAATGTATAATTAAACCAAGTTTTCCACCAGGATTTAAGGATATCTTCTTATTTCTAGGCTACCCTCGATGTCATATATTCGCCATACAAACCTTGCACAGATCCCCCCTTCAAGTTATGCTGGGTAGGCCTAGCCCATTCAGTGGAATCCACTTGTCTCCAAAGGGATGTGGAAGATAATATGAAGAAATTACAGTTTTAAACGTTGGTGGAAGACCCCGGAAGAATATTTTGAGAAAAACCACGGAATCAATTAAGTAGGGATTGAACTCCAATCCATTAAGGCGGGAATCGAACCCGGGTCACAGTGGTGGAAGGCGAGGAAAGTACCACTACGCCAATCTGACAGCCATGATGAATAGTATTTCAGTATGTAGCAAACACAATGACTTTTTTTAACTCAGTTCCTGGTTGGCAAATGTGAAACGCCACTTCTGCAATTACAATCATTTTGTAACAATGTCCATGAAAGCTTCCATCTTTTGTCTGATCTGGTATGGAGCCGCAAAGTACAATGTTAGTTGTTTTCTTTTCTTAATCCTTTACCAGCATTGTGCATTTTATCAAGAAGACACTATAGACCTACCACTCAATTTCTTGGAGTTTTTTTAAGCGGAGAATATCGTCGAGATTCAATTATTGAGCTGAGTACCAGTGAGTAGAAATGTGCATCATATGACATTTTCGCTGACAAACTATTTTCTCAGTGGTTTATTTCTTCTGAACAAATTTCGGAAAGTTCTGACAGATTTTGCTAAGCTAACTGCTCAACAGCTCTAAGAAAACTGTTCCAACAACGCAGCTAGACTTTTAACATTACTCACATTGCAACATCTGGTGACACAGTCTAACAAAAGCAATCCTCTGTGTATTTCCTCGCTAGCTACACATTAAACCAGCCATGACAATGACGTCATTATTAATTTGCAAGTATCAATAAACATATAAAAGACCGAAATATAATCCCAAATATGGTCCACTGTAAAACATCATGTGAATAACTTAACATCATCTGTATGTTTTGGGTTTTTTTCGGGGTTTTTTTTTTCAATTTTCCTCCCACACTTTTAGGGGGCCTACTCATTGTACACTACATTGCGTTAAACATGATATAATACATGGCGAGTCATAAAAATAACATAGGGAGAAAGTACACATTGTTGACCATTTAACTGTGAAATGTTCACTTAATTGCAAGTTATGGCTATTTTAACAAAACGATCACAAAATGCAGCTGTCCACCACTAATCAGTTACCGTTCTACGAACTGATGAATACCCATTAAATACAATGAAATTTAACATAAACATTTTCCCACCTCCATGAATGAACGTAACCTTGCAAAGGAAAACAGACAAAAATCGCCATCAATATTTCAGAACAGAAAAAGAGTGGCGCGACTTGTTCCTCATTATTAAAAACACAAAATCTGACAGTGAAATGTTTCAGTCTTGACTCAAACGATTAAAATTCATTTGCATTTCAACGCGTGTATGTAATCTGTAATATCACTTAGCTCAATAGCTTTCAAAGATGGACAGCTTTAAAAATAGGTTCTTAAAGCTTCTGATAGCATGGATCAATTTCAGTGATTCTTTTCTCAGATGAATGGAACAACTTGCACTTTTAAGACGTACTTCATTCTGGTATTACATTTGATTGCCTTTAAAAAAAAAATCATTAATCCATGTCATATTTAGGACTCACCCTGTACAATTATATCGCAATATTGGTGAAAATTTTTGTTTAAAAAAACACAAAAAAACGGCTTACCTGTTTTGCCGTCAATGCAGCAGTCTGAGGTTAATAGGCCTAGCAGGACTATTCAGTTTCTCCCAGGATTCGACTCCGTCTGCTGTCTGCACTTCTTGTGATTCCCAGTTTCCCCACCACCAACAAAATTACAAACTACAATCCTGATTTGACTTATGAGTCAGTCTTCCCAGACTAAGCCGATGAACGCATGCTCAGTTGAACCCCACGTGGTGAGCATTCGCCGCATAGCGCATGGGCGAGCACTGAGTGTATTGTTCAATTTCTCCCACCTCCACTGATTATGCAAATTCGTCGGCACAGACACAACATCCTCTCTCACCGCCGGCGTGTATTCCCACCGGTTTGGGCGGTCTATTGTTGCCTGCTCTGGGTGAATCTTTTGATGTTCCAGACGCGTGTGCCACCCCAAACCAGCGATCCATTGTGTTTGTTATTTGCCGTTCCCTGAATTGCAACCAGGTCATTAATAATTATACCGTCATCACGACCTGTCACCTCTTCGGATCTTCCAACGGAACACACAAGTTTTGTTGAACTAAGTGATAGTGTACATTTAACGTGCATAATAAATCACCAGATCTCGTATTATAAGAGAGAGAGAAAAAACCTGTCGTTGTTGAAGATGTTGTTGCTGGGATTGCAGTCAACTTCAGTTCATAGGCCTAAAATGTGATCACGATGCGTCACTAAAAGACGTGTCGCACCCCTTAAGGACTTTTGCGGGGGGGGGGGGGCAAAATCGTTGTCCTTACTGACTACATCTTGTCACGGTTGGCAAATGGCAAATTTGCCAACCAACATGAATGTAGCCACCAATTGTAAGCTATTGTGTCCAAACTCCAATCCCGTCGGCTCCGGCTGGCCGCAAAGAAAACGTTAAACACTCAATTTAATACAATTGTACAACCAAAACAAAACAGTTGTCTACTGAATTGTGCCTAACAATAAGTGCCGATATTGGTCTACTGAATTTGCTACTATCGGCACTTAATAATTAGGCACAGTTGAAAAGACCAAGTTTCGGCACGTAATTAGACACATTAAATTATTTAGTAGAGCCCTAAATAGTTAGGCACACATAAGTACACCTTTTGGCACTTAATAGTTAGGCACAATTCAGTACACATATCGGCACTTAATAGTTAGGCACAATTTGTTTTTTTAAGTGGAGGTAATGGTCGTTGTTGGTGGTGGGCAAGTAATAACGGAAAAAAATGTTGCAACCTGACGCCATTTCAGCGGTTGTGTACAACGTTAACGTCTATGGAGAGTCAAGAAAAGTATTTCCTAACAAAATTGGAAATGTTTCTCAGTCCCAGATTCATTTCTTATCATTTTTGCAATGACTGACCTTCATTGAAATGATGAAGAACATTTTTTCCATAATAACTATAACTGTTACCCAATCAACCAACCAACCAACCAAACCAGTACTGAAATCAGGGGGTGTTTGATTATGTTTATTGTCTATCATATGACAAGTAGTTGGTATTTCTAACTGACCTGGACGTCACGTAATAAGTGAACCTGTCTTTTGCAGATTTGAGTCAACAGAGGGCGCTGTTTAGAAAACCTCGCGTAAACCTCCTTGTCCAAAGCGGTCTCGTATCCGGGCCCGAAGAGACTGAGAGCACTCATTCGAAGCGGGTTTTTTTCTTTCAAAAGCATCATCCATATTTTATCATTTTGACGGGGGTTTCAGGGAAGATCCGGGGGGGGGGGGTCAACCCCCCCCCCCCCCCCTCAGCTCTGTCTCAATTTTTGTTTTCATAGAAATACCTTTAAAATAATGTGACCTTCCCCCTACTCTGACACCCAAACAAATATTCTTGCAATAATATCCTCCTGTGCACAAAGTTCGGTACGAGGCCACTCCCCCCCCCCCCCTGCACCACCACCACCGCCACCACCTATTAAATTTACAGATGCCAAGTGTCCGGAGAAAAAGACCTGTCTACATTTCAGCATTGATTGGCTGATGAAAACCCCCACCCCACCCCTGCAAAAATTCCTGGATCCGCCCCTGGGTCTCCAGATTACACTGGAAATATTTCGATAGATAGCGGGAAACTTTGCAAGAAGAACACACAACTGTATGCCACAAACATTACACCATACTGCCATATAAATTGTTCGACCCCTAGAAAAAAGAAGCCAGAGATTAAAGGACGATGGTGCAATTAGCTATCTGACGTACCACCTCTAGCTAACACTCATGAATAAAACAGCTAATTAAAAGTTCAATTTCAGGTTGAGTCACTGGCATAACTACGGGAGGAGGGAAGGGGTCACTACCCCCCCCCCCCCCCATTTCCCCCTGATGCCCCCCCCCCCTTCAGAAATTGGGGAACGCAAACATGAGCTTTTCATTGTTAAAACCCATTGAATACTACCTCCCCCCCCCCCAGAAAACGAGGCCCTCCTCCCCTCCCACCGAAACCCCAGGTACCTCCAGCTCTCCGCGTTTTTGGTTCTTTTAAGTTAAAAAGCTATTTGTACGCGCCCATATTTAAGTGCGCCTGCAGCTGCGGTTTTACCCATGAGTAAGGAATGAAATATGCAACAGCCGTCGGGATCTTTCACGCTTGTACTAAAATAATGAAGGGGTGCTAAATGTATATTTTTTTTTAGTTGGGTTCATTTATGAAATTTTGCCTCACATATTTTACAATGTGGTATCAAATACGAAAAATATAGCTAAATTCATTATATGGAATCATTTAAATTCTGAGAATAGTGTGATTCTGAGACAAATTAGTTGAGTAAACCACTAGCTCTTGACTCTCGGTGGCCTCTTCCACCCCTACTATTATTTGGTTCGATCCACTATTAATTGCAGAATTCTGCGCTCCGTGGTTTGCCGAAGAATCTTCAGGACTTTCTCTTTCTTATCGGCAAATTGAACTGTAAGTACGGAAATAATCTCCCTGCTACTGAAATCTGTCATTTGCTAAGATTAAACATGAATTATAGTGAAGGCTACCTCCCGAAAAGGTTGAATAATTTTAGGGGAAAGCCCGTTATTATTTTCTCATTCCTCCGATAGGCACATCTGCGTGATTATGTCATAGCCCTTTGTCCAGTTTCCGGACAGTGTTAGCACATGATGATGATTCATGATATTGATAAAATGGGAGGAATGTACATTGTGTAGGCCTATGTACATCATAGCTTAGGCTCTTGCCATGGCAAATCCGACATTTCAAGCTGGGAATACGGAAAAAATTCCATACGCGGACGTCACTTTTTTCAATTAATTTTCTAGCGCCAAAAGTTACATCTTTTATGGTTATTCCTCCACTTTCCCTCCTCTACTCTCACCCTCTCCTTTCCTTAATTTCTATTTATTAATCAGTCAGTTACTTCATCGGGATTCGAACCTCTGACGCTTGCTTGACACACGAGACTCTTAACCGCTAGGCCGCGCACGATCGCTGTTGCAATAATCAATCTTTGGACGTATTTGAAGTATCCATTGAAATAAACTTAATATTCATGAGAAAATAAATATTCATAATGACGTATTGCACTATCATTGGCAGGCTCATGCGACGTCATGGTTGTTGATGTCACGTGTATAACGTACCGCTGTCTTTCAGCCACTACAATCAGTTTTGACCGGCTGCTTCAAGTTAGTTCTGCACGACGTATGCATCCAAAATGTGCTCTAAAAACACATTTTGAGTAAATTTTTTTCACCTTAACACAGCTTCCTGGATTTCTCTTGGTTCAAATGACAAGGTGAGGTGACAATTAATATGTTTGGCAGCAGATAAATTGGCATCCGAGTATGGAACTTTTCCCTGGGAATACTTGTCATGCTTGTATTACATTGGTGATATGTTTTATTTTTTAAATTTGCTGGCAACAAGAGTTCTGTATCAACTATCAATCCGGCCACCACTATTTTTTTGCAATGCCAATGCTGGCCTACATTTTGAAGCGCCAGAAAGTTTCGTCTCACAATAACATAGGCTAAAAGTAAAAACAGGGTGACCGTAAGGTCATGGCCAAATTCTGCTAAATGCAATTCAAAAATCTGTCAGATTCATAAAAATCTGCCAAATTCCGCAGAAGGACTCCTCGAAATACACTATAATAATATTAAACACTTAAAATCACATGTATATGTTTACTTATGAAATTGCGTAAATTTCAGGCTAAACACGGTTGCGTGACGACAAAGTCCGGTTCCCAGTGAACCTCAGCACGCACACCTAGACCTACATGTAGTCCGAAAATTTGGGACTCTCAATACTGTGTATGAGTGTCCCAAAACTTAAGGTATTGAAAACATGCAAAACAAGAAAATAGACTGGCACCTAAAACAACCAGTCCAACACAGCTTCAGTACTGCATCAATCAACCATGCCAAAAGAATTTAAGAAACATGTGGCATGAAACGGGAACTAGTCTCAATTTACTACACATTTCTCCATAGTCAAGCCACCAGACTATTGACACTGAAAAGAAGTCAGTCTTTTCAAATAGTTGGACCATGGTTGGACATGTACCAGTCTAGTATTTAGCCCCATTTTGAAATCACTTGACTTCCCTCTCATGTGCAAAATATTGAAGAAAAGTCTCCTTTAAAAATTGAATTGAGTCTGCAAACTTGGTTGGTGAAATACTGAGGACATTTTCTTTGCCCCAGTGGAATTTTTGGAGAAATTTGCTAGCTAAACTGTGAGTAAAGTGGGCCTGATTTAGTTTTGCACGTTTCAGAGCACTCCAGAGCCCTGTCTGACCTAGACCAGCCAACCTGCCCCATTAATATGCAAGGGTTTGTTTGAAAAGATTGAAGCTTTTTTTAAACAAATGTACCATTATTCTTCAAATTTTCTATGTTTTTCTGTCAAATATCCATGTTTGCAGAATTCTGCCAGAAATCTGCCCAAAAAATCCATTCTGTCAAATTTTCTGTCAAACTTGATTTTTAACAAAAAATCTGTCAAATTTAGCTGAAAATCTGCTGAAACAGTCACCCTGGCCAGTAACTAACACTACAGGAGTTCAGTAACAACATGTCTAACACTTTCAAAATTATATATGGCGGTAGGAAACTGTAATCCATGCCATGGTCCTATATCATTAGGTAGAATACTAGAATCATCAAATTTCAAATTTCAAAGTTGATCATGTTGATTCGATAGTGTAGAATGTACCTATCTCAAAGAGCTTTCAAAATGCAATTAAACAAGTG